TCACACAAAAACTGGATAAAACTTTGACAAGACTTAAATCTCAACATACGTTGCAGTGTACGGAACAAGAACAAATGTGACGTTCCTCATCTTTTTGTGGATCGTGAATCGATCCATGTGTGCTCAAACTTATGGGACAATAGAAGCAACCGCTTGACATATTTCTCATAATAAAACTTTGATTTTGCTTTTTCATTCAGATGATTCGGAGAAACATGCAAAAGGCGAAAGCACTAAAATGTTGTCGTAAAGAAAAAGGGGAACTAAATGTATCCGTTGCCTCGATTAATGACATTTATTTGTTATCAGATTTCTTTTCCTCTTCCTCAAGTAAGACCCGTGATGCCGTCATGGAATTACAACAATTGCTGGGCTTGTTCGAAGCCCTGATTTCCAAGCAGCCAAGGTCCCTGACTTATCTTCCCGCACGCGGTCTGATCAAGCTCCACCAACGTTACCACCTGACTTCCAGTTTTCTTTTACATCCCATCGTGAGCTCTGGATTGATTGCTTCTCGGCACTGAAATTTTTTTGCACATTCATACGTTTCGTAATGTAAGTAACACAAAAGAAAAAAATCAAATCGTAACTATGTGGTAGCTCGATTTAATAAACTTTGAGATTGGAAAAGAGATAATCAGCATTCCAGTTCCATGACCGGATGCACTCACACTTTGGTCCTGGAATGTTGATTATCTCTTTTCCAACTTGTCTTGATCTCTTCCACCTCTGCCAAACAGTTTGATATAAATTGGGATGTATTAGCATTTAGAAGAATCACCGCAAACAAACTTTGAGATTACAAAACTACATGGGCGTGGTACACAGTCGACTGAATGGACCCAATATCCCGGAAAGCTTTAAGATTCATCAGATCATATGAAGAAACGAGCACTCGCAAGAAGCTTTTTGTAACTACATAATGTTATACGAAGAAAACTTACGACTGACTTGTTCCTCACAGCCTGGGCTGGCTCCGGTGGCTCAAGTGATACTCACTTTGACTTCACTGTATTTGGATTCTCCTCCCATCATCGTGCCAGTCGGTTGTTGATAAACCCTCAACGTTCCCGTTGATTTCCTGTTTTAGGCACCCTTTACTGTTCTGCATTTTCTGTTCTATGTCGTCTTTGTTTCCAGGTTACACATTTGCTTATCCGTCATCAAAACCGGTCATTTTCCTTGTAATGTTTCATTTCACTCTACTCTGCCCGTACAATTTAGTTGTGGTGGTGGTCGAACGAGAAAGATCCCTGGGACGACGTGTTCAAATACTAGAACCACTTCCTGAATTTCCTCATTCTTTGATTGACGCCCCCCCCTTCCTGAAAATTCTTTCATTATAAATTTAATAGAAGGAAGTTAAACAAAAATATTGGAAAAATCGTCTTTTACACACCTTAAGAAATTCACTAAATGCAATCACTGTGTTCTAGTAAGTGTGTTACTCCGTTTGGGCGAATTCGTTATAGACTGTCACATGTGAGCGATTTTCGGACCACAAAACCGTGTTCACTTTAAAACAATTGTAGAACAGAATTACTGCATGCGTGAATACCACGGAATCTATATTACTCATTTGTCGCTTAGACTATGTCGGTGCGTTGTGTTGGGCCTATAGGCTTAATGCGAATGAACAAATAACATTGATCGATGAGACAAATTGGGGCAAGAGTAATGACTGATCATTAAAAACACAACAATAGAGATTTGGTTTGTCAAACAGTAGGAAGCGTGAATGAGAACAGCCATTTAGGATACAATATTCAAGCGGAATAGTTGACCATCATATATACACCTTAAATGTTTCACTTCAATTCCCATTGCCACCGTATAACTTTCCCCATTGTGTCCGACGTTTACCTTCAGATGACCGCTTTTCTTTTCTGAAAATTGATTGCTTACTTAGCTGTTTTGTATTTGTATTCGCATAACTTGTTTAAGCTTGAATGTTCCTACTTCAATTTAAAATGCTACGTCAATGTTACACAAAAACAGGAAAGAAGCTAGTAAAAACTGATACAATATGATTTTATCCAAATAGTTATTATTTAGATGGTGAGCGCGGTATCAATGGTAGGTTCTCTGAACACCTGCCGGGTTGTGAACAAATTTGTGGGGGCGCATTCCAAGTGTGTGATTTTGAACCACTGGGCATCGAACAACTATTTTTATTGTATAAAAATTGTCCCGCTCCAATAAGCAGGAAGGCTACACCCAATCATTTTCAAGGCCCTTTTGGATTTACAGTGTTAATGTGTTCGACAGCATTTCAGTGAACCTCTGTTAAACTGGGACACAGATGGGGTCATCAAATATCCTGCACTCGGTATTGTGACATGATGATTGGTTGACGCATAATAGGCAGAGTTAGTGATTCCTCTTGATAAAACTAATTTGACACTTACTTATACGCATGCCATCTATACTGGAACTGGTTTGGATAAAACCATATTCAATACCTTTTTGGTAAGTTGTGTGCCAGAAATCCATCTTCTCAAAGAAAAATGAACATGAGAAGAACTATAGAATAGTATGCATGAAACCTGGCCCCGATGAATGCTGAAAGTATATCAATTGCTCAGTAGGAAATTAGTAGATGGCCAATCCACAGCGCTTAAAAAGGTAGGTGTGCGTTGCCAACGTCTCTTAGGAAGGATTAAAAAGCTAAGGTAAAATATATGACTTTCAATAAAATAACGAGAATAGGGGCTAACCAATACCTTTATGAGGAAAGCTTAAAAATATCGATCACATAAGTGTAAAGTATGAAAAAAGAGAATAGAGCTCCACTAGGGCAGAGGCTAGGAAACAGAGTCAGTTTTTCGGTTGTTGCTTAGCATGGCTTCAAAAATGTCAACCGCGTCGGATTTTAATTGATTTAAACGACGCTGACTGAAAGGGTACACTTTACCTGATGCCCCATTATCATCCGGTGTTTCCCAAACGATGAAACTGGGTTTTCTGGTTTTAGCCCTATCATTCGTTTGTGTTGCGCTCTCTCGGAAATAGTTGGATGCGTTCTTTTAGGTATCACACTTCCGGAGACTCAAAAATATGACAAATTCTGTAAAGCAGGAAATAATCTCTTTCTACTGTGTATGTTTGGATTAGGGCTCTCGGTTTATCACAGGCACCAGGTACCAAGCTGATGTGCGTAAGTGTGGGTTTCCCCTCTTGGTAGATCGTTGATTCCCCACCAGTTAAGGTAATCCATAATGGTCAGTGCCTGTGAAAAATGGTCGAGAGCAATTGAACCATTGGCACACGGTGGCGACCGTCCGCCGTGTATAGGTAAGGGGGTTGACTCTCGACCCAAACGTTTGCAGTTTAAATCCCGTCAGGGGCACAAAAAGTACCCGCTACTGACGAGTCCCAAACCGGACGAAATGGCCGCTGGGTCTCGTTGTCGGTCATCACAAAGATTTCTACCGCAATATTTTTTCACTATGTTTACAATCTTTTCACCACCTAGCACATTGTTTTCCACTAAACCGACCTCAGAGTTCCGCATTTCGCACTCTTATTCTAATATTGATTGTCTGTGCTCAATCGTAATAATGAAAGACCTAGAAAGTTGAATTATCGTAACTTCCGGTTTCAATATCAAACAACAACTGACAGATACAAACTTTGACTTTTGACTTTTACGTATATCTACACTGGATTTTCAATACATTTAATATCAATACAGCTATTAGTGACTTGGTTTCGATAGATCTAATGTAGATATATCATTGGTTCTATCATTCTTCTCAGTTTGGTGGTAATCTGTGCCGTATATTCCCCAAACCTCATTTATACAGTTAAAGTCCATTAGATGATTACCTCAGATCAACAACTGACATTCACCTTTTAATGCAAAAGAAGAGAGATCCTTCTCTCGTACGCAATCGATGAGAACTGAATCATTTGCTATTTGACTATTTTGTGAGGTTCGGTCGGTTTGTGTATTCATTTTGAATAACTTTCCAACAGGGACACTATTACCTCGGCGTGTATTCCCCGCTGATCGTTCTTCAGGAAAATGAAACATTGCGTTCAATCTCTTCGATTGCTGAGTTAAAACAAGCAGGCACATAGCATTGTTCCATTATGGTGACATCTGTCTTCTTTCTGGATAAAGGGGACTCAATATTTCGAAAATAGGTTTCAAAATTTTGCGTTTCCTGAAATTCTCTGTGTGAAAAGATGATCGGTAACTTCCAAATAATGTAAGATCCGAAGTCTATATAATTCCTGAAGGAGTGAAGACAATTATCAATGAACAGCTCAGCTGCAGACAAATTAGACGCGAAAGGCAAACGAAGAATGAATCGAATTGAAAGGTCGCGGTAAGTAGCACTAGGAGATACAAAACGGCATGCAGGTGTCATTCATGAGGAGAATTTTAATCATTTGACCCGGAGTTACTCGGCTGATTTGTTTCCTTTCCATTTTAAATGAAATCATTTGTGGCGGTAAAAAAAGAAAAATAAATTTGCTTTATTTACCTCATTTCCGACTGATTTGACCTTGACTCCTGGCACATTGACCATTGCAGATTACATAGGAAATCAGACTATTCCGAACAAACAAGGTAAGGGATTTTCAGAAATCACTGGACAGGGAAGCAGGAAAACTTACTTCATTTTGAAAAAAATGGAAACACTTGAAGTAGGGTGATATCATTCGTAAGAAACAACAACAACAATAGAACAGTGACCAACAGTGACTAAACGATAACGGCGCTGTTTCACTAACACAACTAATAAGCTAATCAGTTGTGAGCCATAGGATAGCAACGACATAGTAATGGATCGCGAAAATACACATCCAGGGTACACGTATATGAATGAACTGACAAAAGGTTACCGGATACGCACGCCTGACGAGCGACAAGAGCCGCGAAAGCGGTCGTGTACTTCTAGGGAAATTTCTTCCAGTCATTCACATACTACTTCTTATATATACTATATATATTATATGTATGTTATATATTATATTATATATTATATATATACCGGATTGCTCAATACATCCAACTATTTTCATCATATCGGCAAGACAACCTTGTGGCACTTAAGGCTTCGACAAAACTTATGAACTCTAACGCATTGTCTCTTTTTGACAAATGGCACTTTTTTTCAAATAGCGCTGCATCTGTGAGGTTAGTATGCAAGCTTGTTGCGGTCAAGCACCGAGATTTTAGGATCGTAATCTTTTGAGGAAGGGCTCAGAGCACAACATGATGCAACTGTTACGGAAAACCTTTGGTGATAACTGCTGACTTTTTGACCTTTGAAACTGAAAAAAAGTCATGGACCTCTAGGATTAGAAGCAGAAAATGCATTGGATTTGTGCAGCAATCAGAAAATTTCTTCATCGTGGAAAAGCTGAAGTGCAATAGTTTCCCAGGCCCATGAAGTTGGCGTATCTGATATCAAGTGAATGAAAACGTCCTGAAGCTTATTCGTATTTACAAGAAGACTGCAGGAATCAATACTTTATCCAAAGGGAGGAGTGATGACTTTTCTACGAATTGTTATCAATGCACACCTTTCTGATCAAATGAAAATAATATTTTTCGATCTCATGAATCCTGCCTGCACACTGTGTCCATCACTTGTTCATCACCACCGTCAATCTTCCCTTGCCCGCAGAATGACTGCTATTATGTTCTTATCACTTATCAAGTTGGCTATAGCTGGTAGTTCCTTTTGATTGGAGACATTTTTCTCTTGTTCAGCACAGCAGTTATGTTTTGTCTTGTCTTTGTTTTTTGGTATTCTTAGAATCATTAAAGTTTCGCAACTGGCGTTTGCATTTTCCATGTTTATTACAGTGACGCCATGATTCTCAGTGCCTATATTTGGGACATGGATACAAAAACAACTTTTGGAAGAAAATATGGTAATATATTTTATGGATCAATACTGGAAATCAGTCACCACTATAGTACATTCATCCATCTAATTCACTCTTTTCATACTGATAACTAGGAGCTAATGGCGTTTAGTTGTATTGGCCGTGAATTCATTGAAGCTCGTGGCATAATGATTAAAAATTTAGTGCCTGAATGTACTCATTAATCATCAGCATTACGGACTATCGTTATATGATTGTAATTTAATCTATTTACTTTGCTCTTTTCTTCATATAATTGCCAGTTGGTTAATAAGGTGGAATTCGAAAGCGCGTTTCGGATATACTGTAGACTGTTGAGGTTCCATGTGTTCCATGTGCTGAGATCATGTTTCCTTATTCCCTTTTTTCGTTCTCATGGATGTTGGCCTTTACGTTATTCAGAAATAATCTTTTATTCGAAAGCTCCATATCTTGCTTTACGTTTCCATTATTTTCTCCTACCCTCGGACAAACTAATTCAGAATACCGTGGTATCGGTGGAGGATTTTTCGTATACAGAGCAAACGAAGCGTGAACCGAAGAGCTAAGAAACATAGGACAGCTGTTTCAACCTGGCTGGGTCTCATCGACCCATGTGAAGATCGAACTCGGGACCTCACTGATAGAACGCAAGACCACTGGGTAGCTATCACACAGGTTTCACTTTTACCTTCAAAATATACAGCACAACCCAATTTAGCAAGCTTGTTTCGGGCATTACTCCTCACTCACCGTCTCCAGGTTTATGAATGTGTTGGAAACATTCTGAATCTGATCACATGACAGATGATACTAATGGCGGCTTTGCTTCAGCTGAACCAGTTTAAAACAACTAGCTACTGCTTCCTAGCTTTTCAGTTTACAATTTATTTGGTCCGTGCAGAGTAAAATTCGCTATATAATCGAAATTAGCATTGGTAGGGCAGTGATACATATTCTGCTTCACCTGAGTAGGACGTACATCATCATGTCTAGTTTGGTCAAATTATGTTCATGAGGAATGAACTCCAATGTGCCACTTAAAATTTGAATTTTCACCAAAGACCACAAGAAATATGTTCGTCTGGTTTGATTTCTGAGATAAACGAAAGCTCTTAAAAATGGTGAAGTTCAAACATACAAATAATATTTTGCATACTTGTTTGCGAACTTAGGTTTCCGGAATTCTTTTCGTTGGCGTTGGCGGTTGATGATGATGAGGAGGAGGAGCAGCACGAAGAAGAACCTTCTGTGAGCGATTCATTTGCATCAGATGGTGCTGGCGGTGTAAAACGAACACTTATCATCAGATCATAAGCGAAGCCTGACTGCCGTTTACTAATGAGCGAGTTTATAATGCATCTGGCTGGGGGGGAGGCAACAATAATTTGTAAACACTAAACTTGAACTTTATTCTTGTTTGGACCAGGTGACTACTCTATATAAATCATAGTGATCAGATCAGCTGATGTTCTCTTGCATTTTGATGGCATCGTGTGACAATCATGGAGTTAGCAATCGGTCATTAACATCCGTCATCCTGGATGTGAGTGCGTGTCTGTGTAAAAATGGTTCCTACAAGTCACAGACAGAGTCTCAACTGCACCTTCTCATGGTAGTCTTCGCAAATGCATGCAAAGTTCGCGCATTCGCTGATTATGAATCATCACGGTGAAAATTGTCGACACTCGCTTCAAAGCATCCAGCTTGTTGACACGTTCTACACCCCTGAAGAGGCCAGATAACAATGACAGACTTCGGTCAACCAAAACGACGTGCTGGGTAGATTGTGGTAGATGTGTCATGCATTGTGCACGGCGAGGAGGGGGAAGGGGGTTGGGGGGTTCGAGTGGATAAGATTTGTGAATGCGACTGACTGACTGACCGGACCCTTTTCGATCAGGAACAATTCATTGTACTTTTAGCCTGGTCCACTGATACAAAACCGTTATCATGACGAATTCGTCGTGTACATGAGGCATGAGCGGAAAAGCTAGGAAGCACTGGATGTCTGTTTCCACTTAGTTGGGTCTCATCAGCACTGCGAATCCATTGACCCTACTGGGAATCGAATTCAAAACCTCATGGGTAGAACGCGAACGTACTACCCACTCTGCCAACGAGCAGATCGTGATCTGACCGTTTCTCATTTGGAATATACGCCATATAACACAATCCATCTTTACAAGTTTTTTGCGAGCATTGGTTCTCGTTCATCTCAGCACTAGCCTCTAGGGTTATGGCTCGGTTGTGAACAAGCAGAATTACCACCCAAAACGAGCTTGTTTGCTGATCTGTGTTCGTATGAATTACAAATGCCTTCGTTGCGGATGATACACGTTGTTGAAATACACTGTAGCTAGTTTGAGTTGTGCCGATAAACGCTTTTCCTGTGATGAATCTGACGTATCACGTATCAGAATGTAGCTGATCAATATTAAGACAATCATGGATCAAATGCTGTTCTTACATCTACTGAACACCCTTGGAAGCGTCCGGTTCAAAACTAATATCCTTGATCGAATCATGGATAACTGAGTTATTCTCACCAACACACATCTGGCTCATTGAACTATGAGAATCGCACAGATTTAACCAGGCTGTGGAAAGACGCGATGAGGATGATAAATAATGTGACAAGGATGATAAACTATGCCACGAAGCTGAGTAACAAAGGGGGAAGCTTTAGGTGACAGCTTGTCCCCATTGGATAGAACGCAATAATCAATTCGGGAATTACAGAGAAAAAGTGTAAGTTCTGTTAGCTGGCAAATGCGTTCAAATTTAATCTTGCTATTCAAGTGAAATAATGTTAATTCTTTCATTGTATCCTTGTACCATAATTACCCCCGAAAGCCTCAGTATGGCCGGAGTGGGTGTTTCGGGCTGCGACTGGTCACTTTTCCCTTACACCTCTTGAAATGGTCCCGTATGACCAAGCGTCTCAAATAGCCCCTGCTGAGGAAGTCCAACTCACTGCCTTTGCGTGGCTGAAGTGTTTTCCCGCCAAAGTGAGAGGACGAAAAGCCCTCATCCGGGACTATAACCGTGTTAGTGAACCATTGGCAGTTCACCCAAGGGAGTTGGCTAAAACCCCTGATTCCGAACCAACCAAAAAGAGGCGTACGAACCACACACACAACTTCCTGGTTGTGACTGTGATCACCGGCTCGATGGGGCATTGAGGTGTATTAGGCAAACTTGGACGTTTCAACCCGTCCGAAAGACATATGATCCAATGAACAGGACACCGGTCCCCAACGGACTGCGGACTCTGAGCTCCATCCCGTTGTCTTACAGATCTGTCTTTCTAGCCGAAGACTGCGGATGGGGACCTCGAGTTTATCCCTGTTATTCGGTCAGGAAAACCGATTAATACGTTCCATAGATTTAGATGATGAATGTTTGGATTAGGCAATTCGCTTTTTCACAGGCACCAGACACTGTTGATGATGTTCGACATGAGTTTCACTCCTTGGGAAATCGTTAATTCCCCACTGTTTGTTTGCATTTTTGTGCGATGGAAGTGGTTATAATAAGCAACAAAGAGCACTGGACACGGAAATCGAAACTAGCAAATCCAGATTGTATGCCTTCGTTCAACACGATTTGGGAGCACATTTGTGACAATATGTTAAAACAAATAAAATAGAATACAGTTTACTCAAACTAACCAAATGTCATTGAAAATCGAACTTCAATATGATATGGTGCATGGGTCAACTGGTTAGCTCACAGTCAAAGCGAGGTTGATTGGCAGCATGACTTCCAAGATTTCGATTTATACCTTGACGCACTGGAATGCTCCTCGCCTCTGTTATTGTTTCTGTTTGCACAGGTGGAGGCTATATTCCAGTTCACAATTCCTATCCGATAACAATTTACTTATTGTTTCACTGCAATAAAATGAAAAATCATTCTA